GCCTAATAGTCATTATATTCAAAATATCTTATTAAAAAAATCAGTGAATCACCGTATTTGGTCGACATTCCTGTCATTCTTTACCTAAAGCGATCTGCGGAATGTGGGGCCTAATCTCAGCCGGTTTCAAATTCGTCGCCAAGGGTGTACTAGGCCCATTCACCAAAACTGATCCTAAATAATTCAACAGTTTCTGTGCACGGTTCTGGCTAGGCTGAAACTGGAACAGTTGCGGGTTCTCGTCGATGAAATACGTGTCCACGTTCCCGTTTAAGAATTTCTGGTTTTCAAGGACGTTCAATAGGAAGGGGATGTTCGTCTTCACCCCGCGGACTCGGAACTCTCGCAACGCTCGGTTCATCTTTGCACAAGACGATTGCAGATCTGCCGCATGAGCTATTACCTAGAAATAGAGCAACGCAATCTATCTTTAAACAGTTTTTAATTTTTGATGATTTATGCATATAAAAAAATCATTAATTAATTATTGTTATTTTGAGTCAATCAGAGAATCGATGATTAAATCAAATATGATTATCAGGATTTATCAAATCATCGATTTTATCGAACGCAGAAACAAATAACAAGTCAGTTGTTACCTTGACCAGAAGAGAGTCATAGTATGGCGAGATAATCGCACCAGCAAACGCCGAGGCTCCGTCCAATCTGATTCCCATACCTTCTCCAGATCTGAATACTTCTATTCTTCCGGTATCCGGTTGGAAGTTTTTCGCTGGATCCTCAGTAGTGACTCTGCACTGTATCGCGAATCCTTGAGGAACGATCTTGTCTTGGGTCAGTCCTAATTCAGGCAGCGTAATGCCTTCGGCTATTCTTATCTGAGATTGCACCAGATCGATTCTGAAAATTTTCGAAAACAGATAATACAAGCAAACGTGATATAACGATATTAAAATGCAGATGTGTAAAAATAATATGTATAGAACAAAAATATGATAATTAAAATTGTTTTTAATAAACGTAGAGAACTCTTAATGATTGAAAAATGATAATTACCCAGTTATCTCTTCTGTGACTGTGTGCTCGACTTGCAACCTAGCATTGACT